TTGAATGGAAACCGAAAACACAATTCAGAGGAATTGGTTGGCACCCTAGCAAAAAAATGGACTCAAGCTTCAAGATCGCCTTTGGAGTCTTTCTTTTCAGGGATTCTTACCTGCAACTGACAAAGTTTCTGGTCCATCCTTTTGGGAAGGACACCCGGGGCCCCAAAGTTCCAACAACCACCGCGGGCTCCAAAATTCCAAAAGCAAGGGCCACCCAATTTTCCCATGTCCTCTTGGAGACAGGTCAGTAGTTTTATTTGAGGCTTACAACCTGAATGTTGATACGTGGAAAGATTGGCCTAATTCAAATTGTTTGTGTGTGCAAGTTGTTCCAAATGCTGTCCCAACGTATTTGTGTTCAGACGGTGTCATATCCTACGTTCCCTTCAACATGCTGCATTGTTTATTATGTGGCATACATTCCGACGGGAATCATTCCGATTAGGTGTCAAGCATGTCAATGTGTTGCCTGGCTCATGGATCTGCTGTTTTGAGATGCTTCCCAAATATGTCCACGTACCAGTACCTGTGTCTAGTTCCATAATAGTCGATACCATTATGTGTTCATGCATTGCGTTGAGCGGTTATTACTACTATTGGCATGCTCATTTGCAAGCACCACCCGAGGGAGATGGTGGCGTGGACCCATAGAGATGAGGGGGTACATGGATTCCAAACACTTTATTGATGGAGATACATACGTATATATATATATATATGTATATATATATACATAGATATATATATATATATATGTGTGTGTAGAGAGAGAGAGAGGGCTAGATATATAGATAAAATATATTACAACGTATACAGACAGAGAGTGTAAATATGGAAACCATGCGGACCTTAACGGAGGAATATATCAGTGCTGACCCCCATTTTCCACACCCCGACAGGTTTGTTTTTTCACAGGTCAGAAGCGCAAAGCAGATGGGTCGTCGCTGAGACCTTGCCTGTCAACTAAATGTCGAACAGCTGTGCAGGTGTTTCTTCCAGACTCCCACAGTCGGTGTTGCTCTGTGCTGTTGTCTGGGTCAACGAGTGGTGCCACGAACCTGATTTGGATCAAAGACGATTAACCCAAACGGCTGTGCATTTTGATTTCATGGGGTGGGGGAGGGGGTTTGTTGGAGCCCAAATACAAGGCCTTGGCCTAATTTAGCCCAACCCCCATGATAATTCAACATGTTTGATCAACTAAGACCAAGAACTTCATGTATTTCTGATGTCCACCAAAGCGTCGCCGACTGAAACAAATACCAGAGCTATTGATTGACATGGCCTTAAGCCGGCCCAGTTGGTCCCCGTGCATGTCTGATCTCCACCAAAAGGGTCCCTCGGCAAAAGCATCAAGGCAAGTATTGGACATGGCCTTAAACTAGCCCTAGTTGATTCTCTTTCATCAAAAGGCACCCAATTGCAAAGCAATGGATGAAAGATAAGCAACGTCCCTGTTTGCTTGAGGAGATCTGACAGGAGCAATGATTTGGTGTGTTGAGAGATTTCCAATGATATTTGAATGGGTTCCCCGCGAAGAAATCACCAAGTGGATGAGCAATGCACCCAAGTAGTTCATCATTGTTCTATGTCCTTGTCCCTTTGCCTGGCTTTGTTTTTCTTGGAACTTCCGGATTTGACATGAACTCCCTGAGCCAAGCGAGCAAAGCATGCGCCCTGGATTCCCCGAGGCAGCCTCTTTTTTGCCTGTCGGATCCCGCGAAAAGTCAAGCGGAAAGCCACGGAAGCTTGGCGAAGTTTAATTGGATTGCGATGGCAAGGGGTTTCGGCTTGCGACTTAAGGGTTTCGGCTTGCGACCTGCGCTCGTCTTTGGTTCTTCTTATTTGAGCTTGATGAGTTGTTGAAGCCACCGAGGTGCAGCTAGGTTTCTGCATCCACTCGGTTTCAGCCCAGACCAATTTTCATTAATCTCAATGCCAGGTCAAAGGCGGTCGAAGCTTTGCAAGATGTTTGCACAGTCTTACTTCCCAGAAAGCAGCACTTCAATACCCGCAAGAACAAGGCATACAATGCCATCGCTACTGTTCTGCCGTCTGTTCGTTGTCAGCACGTGTTTTGCTACCACTCTTGGCACCATCCGCTTGAGCGGCAAGCGAACACACATTGAGCGCTCAAATGACTTGGAAAAGCCATGCCCCGACCAGTGATCTTGCGGATTGATAGGCTGCAGGCTGGGCTTAAATTAATTGTTGCCGGGCTGTTGGAACTTTGCGACCGGCCAAGCCGAGCTCAAACAGGGTCCATGGGCTTTTATTGTGTATTCGAACATCTAGCCCTTGAGGAATCCAGTGGAGGCCCCAGGTTGTATGCTAAGTTTTGTTCAGATGCACGAATCCAGTGAGAGCATGTAGTTCAAGGCAAAGAGGCATGAAACGATGGTTCCAGATCGGCCTCTGAAATCAAGCCTGGGTCAATTTAATTATTCACACCACACGGATAACCAAGCGGATGAAGCAGAAGGATGCCTGGGTATGGGGTATAAAAGGCAGCCCCCTCCACTTATACCGGCTAGCCTTCCCTATGTTTCGCAAAAGCAAACTCAACCACCAACAAACATTGAAGCGCACAGACCTGTGTTGGACGACCTTGGGAAAGGGTTTCGCCTGTGCATCAACCACCTTTGAGGGCAAGCAAGTCCTCAGAGGGTTCGGGATCATCGCGCCTTGAGAATGCCAACATGAAATCAAGTGTCCTTTAGTTGTGCTTTTCTAACCAAAAAAGGAGCCGCCTATCAATTAAACATGGGCCCCTATATTATAAGCCAGAAAAAGGGCTCCCCCCCAGTTTCGTGACCCTAGGCGTCCCTTTTAGGTTAGTTCGGTTACTAGAGGGCCCTGGTTTACCTGGTGGTTCACTCCTCTACCAGGGCGACCCCGTTTCTCCAAAAAGAACACCTACCTACTGTGGATGTCCGAAATCCATTTCGCACCCCCTAAAAACCCTGGTTTCTGCTGGTTTTCCCCCGCAAATCCCAAGCACCGGTTTGGTTTCCACCATGGAAACCCCAAGTGGTGCCAAGTGGATTTCGTCCATCCGTTCGCTTGACCCGAGGCTTCGTCCTTGGGGCGTATCCCTGAGACTTCCGCCACTTTCTGATCCGTCAGGCGGAGTCGCGAGCCGGGCGTCGGAGGGGGGGTCGGTCTGGAGACGGCCCGGTCCAGCGGGTATGGGTCAAAACGAAAGGAATTGGACCGCAGGTTTTGGCCCCAGGTTTCCACATCTTCCCCAAAAATGGGTCCGCCTATTCTTGACCGGCCGTATGACCCCCGGGGAAATGTCTCATGTACCCCCGGAGTGGGGTGGGGTGTGGGGTGGGGTGTGGGGTGGGGTGGGGTGGGACGGGATGGCAAAACAAAGTTTCATCAAGACCGTTAACCCAACCACATTTCAGGATCTGGATATAGGAAGCATGTTGAAAGGGGCTTGCAGAACACCAAAAGCCACCCCAGGCCACGGGCAAGATTTCCCTTGTGGTGTTCGCACGCCAAGTAGGAGAGTGCAAGACATGTCATGCAGCCTGATTTTGAGAGGCTGTCAGAGACCGTGGGAGCATGGCTCATGATGGCCCGCTGAACAGCCGGCGTTATCATCACAAGGCCCATGAGGCGAAAGGTATTCATGGATCCGAGTTGTCGAGATACTTTTGGGTCAATGCATGCCTGATGAAGCAATGGGAACACCGTGGCCCCATTTGTGGTGGAAACCCCTGGGATCGGGCATCTGCCACGAGCCTTTCGGTGAGTTTTGTGTGTGTGTGAGTGTGTCTTTGTTTTGTGTTGGGTTTGTTGCTTTTAAAGTCAGGTTTCCCGTCATTCTGGGTCATTCTAATTGTTTGAAGGTAGAATCCGATGATTGGCCGTAGCTGTGAAATCACACGGACAGAAACACTAGTTGCTGAAAGCACAACTGCTCATCGCGTATGTACTGCATACTATGCAGAGATCAATCATACCCAGAGGCTTACTTGACTGTTACTTGGCAAGCTGCAGTAAAGCGACTTCACAAACGCAAGCTGCAGGCAGCAAAGTTGTTCTGACAAAGGGGCTTGCGACAGAAGGAAGGTTCAATTCATGGGGATCTGTTTGTTTTAGCCACCACTGGTTCAAAATGTAGCCAAGGACAGCATAGCGCAGATGACAAGCTTTCGCACACTTGAACAAAGTCTGTGCCACCGCTTTGCGAAGTCCAGTTCAACTATAGCTTTAGACGTGCACGTACACCGTTAATGCCTTCCAGTTCCTGACGTGCGGAATAAAGCTGGTTGCAGTACCAAAATCCATGTGCTGGCCTTAACCATGCGAATTGAGGTTCGTTATTTGTGCAGGCAGAGGTACATGGGATATTGGCACAGCTGCTGGCCTGCTGTCCTACTGATCCCCTGAAAGTTGTAATTGAGTTATTTGCGTCAAGAGAAAACTTGAATGCCAAGAGTGATGCTCGAGCAAGACGCCAAAGACTCAGAAGGCTTAAGGGGCACTCAGGCATGTGATGGATGTGTCACACGGCACGTGTTGCTTTGCCTTCGATTCGGCCGCCTGACTGATGCCTCTTCTGCCGCTTGAAGGGAAGTGTGGCTCGAGAGTTCCCGGGGCGTCCAAAGCATCAGCGATGTCTCATGGTTAGCTCGCTCGAGACGGGGTTTTCAGGAGCTTCTGGTGAAGCTCCTCAAGTTTGAAATGGTCCCCTTGCTGGGTTCCAGCAAAAATGAGCCCTAGCACCTTAAGACTCTGAGAGAGTTTCGGCACAAGCATTGCAAGTCTTGGGCTTCACCCCGACAAGGGTACCATTAAAACATTGGACAACCATGTCCAGGAAGCACCATCTCCATGTGGGTATGTGTCAAAATACAACCACCAGGGGACCGCAGGTTTTAGTCTTTGGTTCCCTCTCCCAGGGTTTCATGTTGGGGTAAACCCATTTTGGACCATAGCCATGTACAGAACCAACCCCATGGAGCGCCCCGAGGCTACGACCATTGGTTTGTCTGAGAGTTTGATCCATCCGGCCACATGATCCATGGGCAGTAGCCACTCGCAAGGCGCGTTTTTTGTTTGTTGTCCTTTTCTTTTCTTTTCCGGGCGCTTCTCTTTTGCGCGCTTTGGGCGGTGAGGCGTTTTGAAGGGAACCGGTTCCCTTTGTGGGGTTGCGTTCAACCGGCAAACAGGAAAACCCATGGATTTTGGTTCCCTTGGAGACATTTTTGGCGCTTGCTGGCCAGGAATAGTTCGGTTTTCAAATTGCAGTTCCTTGAAGCCTTTGGGGGTCTACCTTTGAATCGGGCTGCACATTTCGGAAACATGGCCCGTTTGCTTAGCCAACACGCCCCTGTTCAGAGCCTATTTTGTGGCGAGCTCACCGGTTTGGGGGTAGAACGAGCTCACCATGATAAGGGGTCCTTTACTTGGGGGTCACTTAATTTGCAGACCCATGTTTTCTCGTCCACAAAGCCCTGAAAAGGATGAAAGGCGTCCGAATCCCTGGACCCTGAGATCTCGAGATTTCAACCAAGTCGGCAGGGAGAGACTCACGGTCTAAGCTTGCCCTTTCCATGGGATCTGCAACTGTGTGTGTGTGTGCGTGTGTGTTTGTGTGTTTGTGAGTTTGTGTGTTTGCGTGTTTGCGCGTTTGCGTGTTTCCGTGTTTCCGTGTTTGTGTGTTTGTGTGTAATTAAGTGTGTTTGTGTGGTTGTGTGGTTGTGTGCTTGCGTGTTTGCGTGTTTGCGTGTTTGTGTGTTTGTGTGGTTGTGTGTTTGTGTGTTTGTGAGTTTGTGTGTTTGTGTGTTTGTGTGTTTGCGTGTTTTTGTGTTTGTGTGTTTGTGTGTTTGCGTGTTTGTGTTTTTGTGTTTGTGTGTTTGTGTGTTTGCGTGTTTGTGAGTTTGTGTGTTTGTGTGTTTGCGTGTTTGCGTGGTTGCGTGTTTGCGTGTTTGCGTGTTTGCGTGTTTGTGTGTTTGTGTTTGTGTGTTTGTGTGTTTGCGTGTTTGTGTGTTTGCGTGCTTGCGTGTTTGTGTGTTTGCGTGTTTGCGTGTGTTGCATGTTTTCGTGTTTGTGTGTTTGTGTGTTTGTGTGTTTGTGTGTTTGTGTTTGTGTGTTTGTGTTTGTGTGTTTGTGTTTGTGTGTGTGCGTGTGTTTGTTGTCGGCTTTGTTTTGGTGTTTGTTTTTGTGTGTCTCTGGATTGTTGTTTAGAGCTGGAATGAAAGACGCTTTCATACAACGGGAGTGGCGTTGGGTTGCCTGGCTTTTCATGTGCCCCTGAGATTACGATTTTTTCCGCTTTAGACAATTAATGGGAGTGGTCAATGGGAGCCTCATCACCTGTGTGGTGTTTGTTGTCAAGCGGTTGTGGCAGGTGAACATCAATTTCGAAGGGCAACGTCACCTCTGCGGCGTGTGCGAAATCATGTTTCCTAATTTGCTCCTTCTGGTCAAGGCACGCTTCCAACGGGGCCTTTGTTTGCACCCTGTTGTGCTTCCTTCAACCTGCTTCAAACAGGGGATTCATCGCGACTGCCTTTTTGTCGCGTGGAGAACCTTGTCTCAGGCAGTGCTTGCAGCTGGCACTGCAATGGCGAAGTGGCGTGCCCTGGCGAAGCAAGAGTAAGGGAAGAGCGCGAGCAAGCCGCGCTCCAACCCATCACGCAGCCCACAGCTGAACTGTGAGAACTTCCCCCAGAATTAGCTCCCCGTTTTTTGTTTTTTTTGGCTTTCTTGGGGTCCCTTTGTTTTCCACTAGCCAGGTCAAAAACACTTTTGTTTGCTGGGGTCCTAATTCCAGCCTAGAGAAGAGCAGTGTGCAGGCTGCGACAGCGAAAGATAGGGACCGTTGTCGGTACGGTTTAGCCTACCATGCCTTTCCCGCGATTGGGCGCCTCAGTTGCCGCCTCCGACACGGACGCACACCGAAAAGGAGAAAGCGAGATTTGACCATTGCACGGAAGAGAAAAACCATGAGGTTAATTATCGTGCAATGAGGATAAACAGGTCAATGATACACGAAAAACAGAAAACTGTTTTGACCAATGATACACAGGCTGTGTATTGGTACACAGTTGAGGATATCAGAGAGGCCACCGGGCGATATTCCATCAACGTTCAGGCGGCCGTCTTGCGCTCGAACCAAGGGCACTAAGCGGGTTGTTTGCAGGTGCGGTGATGGACGACCCCCTTGTACAAGTGGAATACAACCTCCACATCTCCACGCGACCTGAACCCAGTTGCCCAGTTGCCCATCTCCACGGTACCCTTTTTTCCACTTTTGTGTGGGAAGGGTTCCCCTTTAAAGTCAACCAGCCCAAAAAGGATGTCCTTTCTTCTCCCATGGCCACTGGGCATTTGAGTGAACATCCCCTTGACTCTTAAGGAAAAAAAGGCGTGGTGCGCTTAGATCGCCCTGCCAGCCTGCGAGCCTTTGACTTCCGATCGCCCAGGGGACGGCATGAGGGCGAAGGGGAGGAGCCTGTTGCAGCTCGGCAGAAAAACGCAAATCCGGGTTGTCCTGGACTGCATATGGCTAAGAATTTCCATAGGGAACCACCTTCGAAGTGGTGGAGATGACTCCCCATCCAAATGATGTCCACCGAAGGGACCCGCATACATGGGAGGGGTAGAGAAGGAAATACTCCAGAAGAATGCGGTTTCGCCGAACCATCGGGTGTGTTCCCACCGACTAGAAAGCAATGGTCATTCCAGCCAGATGTCAAGCCGGTTGGAAACATCAGAGGCTTTGTTTTCAGTGTTTTAGGAATGCTCAGGTCGACACAGGGTTTCCTGTCTCGGAACAAAATGGTTGCTTGCGCGGGAGCACATGTGGATGACTGGTTGCTTCAGTACTGCTTTTGTCACTGCAGAAATCAACCAAAGAAGGATCCGAAAGAGCTCGGTGGGCCAGGCATAGTGCAGGGCCAGGCATAGTTCCTAATAGTGTCTGGTTGCAAGCGGATGGGGCAGATGGGGTTGTCAAAGTGTTTTTGGACCTTTCAAATTTAAAGACGGGGCCACGCTGGCCGCGGATTCCCCGCACTCCCTATTTGCGACAACTCCCAGGTACTTGGCTGCAATCGCTTCTGTTTTCATCAAATCCAATCGTTTCCTCACAGCGTAAGCAGACATGATATGATGTCGGCTACAATCCTCCTTCATTTGTATCATTCGCGACCGTTCTCACTGAGACGGCCATTGAACAACACGTGCCGTGCCGACAGCAATGATGGTCCCTGTTATGAGCAATGAAGAGCCCCCGCGCCATTTGGAACTGATCTTGGAACGTATATAGCGTGTATTCGGCTGATGCCATTCAGGTTCTCCCAAGATATGTGAATGGAGTGGCCTTGAGCTTCTAATGACACTCAGCCAAATGCTGACATGCGCATTGATTTGCTTATGTATGCGACATGGACCCAGCGTACTGGCCAGCCTTGTATATGCCATGACTCGGCTTCAAGCTGGGTTGTGTACCTGTTGTGCCAGTGCATTAGTCTGTGCTGAATCTTGTCAAGCATGGCGACATGTTGATGAGGACCTTTAATCATAGCTCTTGAGTCCTCACTTGAGTGCTACCGAATGTGGTTTGTTTCTTGAGAGTGTTTGAGATGTCATTTGTTCTATTGTCAGGCTTGTGCCAGCTGCTGGTATGCCAGCAAGCAGTCACTTGAAGTCAACTGGAATTTCCATGAGCTTGAACCAAGGATAGCGGTTTTGTCAAACGATTCCAATATAGCCACCGCCAGGAGTTTTAGCATAATTTCTGGTTTTCGACTTCCTAATATTCATGCAGGCTTATACCCATAGGAAAGAAACTGAATTCTCCTCGTCCTCTCTGGTCACTAACCATTTCCTCAACGTCCTCCCATTGACTACTCCCATCTCGCTTCCAAAATGATCTCTGGTCACTATGCCCATTTTCCTAAAGGGCCTAGCCTATCCCCAACTTCAGGGGTCCGAATTTCCTCTGCATGATTGTGCTCAGGTTTGAACCGGCGTGACGTTGCTGCGGAAGTTTTCTCACACAAGCAAGCTAAGTTAGGCGAAAGGAGGTTGCCTCGTGGCTTGTGTTTTTTTCTCCTTTTTTTAAATATGTCTTACAGTTCGGAGATGCACCTCGCAACTACACAATGAGTTTGCGTTGGACAGATCGAGGTGGAGCTGCCTCCTTTCTGATGCGCAAAAAGAGCCCACGGTTTGGTTCGTGTGGACAGGGTCCTGATTAAAAAGCTTGACCCATGAAGCATGCTGCAACTCTTTCTTTGACACTAGAACAGCGTAGTTCTTGCTGCAAACCTTCAGATTCTGCAAGCCATGAGCCTCATCTGGGTGAATTATAACGACCTCACGCGACCGAATTCACCCCAAATGGTGGTTTCTGGGGAATATCCCTCCAACCACCTTATTTCAGGCTGGTGAAATATTATAATGCACCTAGACCTTATGCATCTCACTCAACTGCGGTTTGGCCACCGGTAAGCAGATGTCCTCGAGCTCATGCCTGCAGATTTCGGATTCGTTCGGTTCACGCACTCGCCTTCCCCAGAATCAGTTCCCCTTTTTGCTTTTTGCTTTTTTGGGGTCCCCTTTATTTTCCACTAACCAGGCAAATGCATATATATATATATATAATATTATATATACATATATATTTGCTGGGATCCTAATTCCAGCCAAGTCGCAAGCAAGCAAAACCCTGTTCCAACAAGCGCATCAACAATACAGTTGAGTTGGGAGGTGTGATGCTAGGCTTTCCTTCGGTCCGGAAGAAGAGAAGACGAAAGTATATATTCCGCAGGTGAGTAGGATGGCCGATAGTAAAGCCACCTAGTCGTCGTTCGCGCCAGAAGCGGGTGAACGACGCCATCGCCAAGAGTACCTCTGGTTACCTCAAGGCAGGTGGATTGTGGCTTTGATTTGTGTGTTGGTGTCTTTTAGGTAAGACAGGCCAAGCATAGGACGCCTTTGCATGAGGCTTATTCTTGCTCGCCCCTTTGTTTGCCATTGTTTCTGGTGTGTGTGTGTTTTGCTTGGATGGTTGATGTGTTGGTGTGTTGATTTGTTGCCTGTTGCGTTGGTTGCTTGCTTGGTTGTTTGCTTGCTTGCTTGGCTGCTCGGTCGGTCTGTTTACTGGCTGGTTGGCGTGGTTGCTTCCAGAGTTGAAGGTAGTGTTGTCTGGACCATTCACTTGTTGTTGCTCTCAGCGGCTCTTACACACCAAAAAGCCCATTTATTCCTTGGTGTGTTTACCTGTCGTAACAAGCTGTAGGCAAGCGTCTTGGAGTCTCACGGGGTTCGACTTATCAACCAAGATCAGCTGAAGTACCAGTTGGTGCACATCAGGCTAAGCATGTACCACATCTGCGATTAGTTCCCCTCACAGTCTGAACAAACGGTCAAATACACACTGAATCGCCTCATTTGTTGGTGCGACGTAGCTATGTTTGAATGCTTGTCTGACCGACCTGAGCACTATATTACATAAAGTGCAGTTGCGGTTCTGATGAGCCGCGGGAAGCATGCCCGTTTCTTGTTGCCTGTCTTGCTACTTGAGCTGCAGCGGTCTGATCTGGTGTGCAGGAGCCTTTGGGGCGGTTGTTTAAAGTCTTTCGTGATGGAACCCCTAGCTGTTCTGAAGCGAGGAGATGCTATATAAGTGTCTGTGCGAGACTGGGAGAGAGTGTGTGTCTTTGGAACTGACCCATCTATCTCCCAACCCGCTGAGGAGTAAGAACTAACCGGAATGTTCTAGCCCCGAACATGGTGGCTGTGTCCGATCAGCTCAGGCGCCGGATTCTTTGCAGGTCAGCCGGGTCTGGAAGACGAAGGAAGCTCGTGTCGGGGCAGGGGCTTTGAGGTCGCCAAATTACGTGAGGATCCCCTGAGTAGTTTCACTTTGGTTCCCCTTTACAAAAGGCCCAAAGAAGGCTCTGACATCAACATAATTAAGCGCCTGGCAAGTCAAGGATCGCGTGCATGTTATGTTTTTGGGCACAAACTCGAGTCGGTAAGCCTATGTTTTGAACACGCAAGTTCTTGTGGGACACATCTCCGTATGATGAAATGCTGGAGCTTAGATCGTGCAAGAGCTTGAATAGTTTGAGGCATACCTAAAGGATCTGCCAAAGCAGCTGTTCCAGCCCAACACGGTTAGCGGATGAACAAATTAATTTGCGGCAAAATAAGAGCCAATCTTTCCCAACTCAACCACAGGGGTATTCTTGATTTCCCAAATGATCGGACACCCTGGTCGCCCTGTTTCATCCAGATCAGCAGTCTCAGTCGGTTCCGAGTTCTCGTGTACTTCCCTAATTTGTGTGACCTACATCTTGAATCCAGATTTGAGGAACGTTGTTTTGAAGTCGCTACAAGAAGGCATTAAGTGCGCTGTTAGCGGTGTGGCGTTCTGGTAGGGGTACGCAGGCTTCGCACATAGGCATTTGTTATGGCTGTGATGTTTGTACATCATGGAAGCTCCGCTAAGTGTACAGAAGCTTGTTCGGGGTACATGATGTGCGTCAATTTCGTTTAGAGCCCAGCTGTTTTGACAAACAAGAGCCAGAATCCGCTGGGCCGAATTGCACCCGTACCGAGGGTGTGGACAGTGCCCGATTATTATTCCTGAGGACCAGACCTTGGCCGAAGTACACTATGCCCAAGCATTCCTTTTATGACAGGTTTGTTCTCGAAGGACCGCTTCTCACGCCTGAGGCTTGAGGCTCGTTTTGAGGCACACACTTGGCGCATAGACTTGGCGTAGGCAGGGCAGTGCAACGCCCCGCAGAGGAAAAGAGCACCGTTCATTTCACCTGGCCCAGCCCGAGCACCAACGGCACATACCCACCCACATGAAAAGAAGGGTAGTTAGAAGCGTTATGCCAAACATGTTGAAGCCTGTGGGAAACGAACGTGCAGTTTTTGGGCAGTGTTGGAATCTATGGCCCAAAAGGTGAATCTGTTGTTTCCAATTTTCCAGGTCTCCAAGTCTTTGGGGCAACTTGTCCATCTGACCTGAATCAGGTCATTTGGTCGGGTCTTTAAAGCAGTTTCATTTTTGGATGTGATATTTTTTCCAAAAGCATTTGCGGGGTTTGGAGTGGCAGTGGCAAGCAGTAACATCAAGGGAAACAGCCTTCCGCCACAGCTGTCTCGCTCCACGACTTAAGGCAAGACGCAATTTCGACCCCCCCCCCCCTGCCAACTCCGCACTTCAGCCCAGTGGGGATGGTGGTCTATGGGCAAGCTTTAAGACTGACTCAACGCTTGCGAGGACCTGGCGGGCCAGGCCGGATCCGTGCGGTTGATGAGATCTGCTCGCCTTTTTCTCGCCCGGAGTCAGACGCAAACAGGGTGATGTCTTGGCAGTGGCGTAAATGTGCCTCACTTCAATCGGCATGGCGGGGCTTTGGGCTCGGAGAATGAAGCAGGCTTTTCTCGAAGCACGAACCGGCGAAACGAGAACGGGGCGTCGCACGCCTGTTTGTGCAAAGACAACATGGCGCTTGGTGGAGGGACTGCACACGTGGGCTTTTGCCACCAGTCAGGTGGCCATCGACAGCGATCTTAAGACAAAGCTGACCTTCCAGACCCACTCGGGAAGGGGAAGAAAGAGGCCCTGTATAAAGAAGATTTAAGATATCTACACGTTGCCAGTGGGTTTGATTCTCTCAGAGCAGGCAAACAAGCAACACCGGCCAATCACTTGTTGATGAATCCGACAATCGTGATCGAGTAAGTGGTTTCCTTGTGAGTTGCGTGATTGGGTTTCCCTGCAGGTGGCGGATACTTGGAATGGGCAGCTGGAATCGAAACGCAAATGCAGCGAGCTTGGTCAAGGCACACGGGCTGACCCTGCCAGGAGTGCAGCAGGGAGAGCGGCCAAAGCCCGAGCATCCACACGCAGAGGCCTTAGCTCAAGTGGTGCTACAAGATCTATGTGCCTGGGTACATGTTGTTCTCGGGCAAGCTCTGATACGATGGAACTCCAAGCAAAGCGTTGTACACGCGGCACCGCATGCTTGAATACACCTGTCACATGGACATGTTGTTGTGTCAAGACATTCTGGTGTGAGTGCCTGCGCGTGCATGGGCGTGTACCTATTTTTGTGGGTGCCGACGTTCGTGCGGCGTGCAAGCGGGCGTGGAGGGTGCATGCGTTTTGCTTTCAGGGGTGTGTGCGAGTGTGTGTGTGTCGTTTGTGTGTGTGTGTGTGTGTACCTCTGTTGTGTGTGTGTGTGTGCGCGTGGGTGAGAGGGTCGATTGTTCGGGGGGTGGGTGGCTGGCTAGGTGGCTGGGTGACTGGGTGGATGGGTGGCTGGGTGGCTGGGTCCCGGGTGGCTGGGTGGCTGGGTGGCTGGGTGGCTGGGTGGCTGGGTGGCTGGGTGGCTGGGTGGCTGGGTGGCTGGGTGGCTGG